CCATTCTCTTCCGTTCTTTTTCTCAGGGCCAGACATGATCCTTTTACTATTTGTTTCTCCATACCTGAGGAACATAGCCATTCCACTTGTTCATGGGTGGCCTGTACATTGTATGTGTGTTTAAAATATATTCCAGCCGGACACTGGTGGGTCATGCATGTAATCCTAATTACTCAGGATACTGAGATCTGAGGCTTGTGATTCAAAGCCAGCCCAGGCAGAATAGTCCCCATGAGACTCTTATCTCCAATTAACCACTCAATAACCATAAGTGGTTGCTGTGGCTCAAGTGGTAGAGTTAGATAGCCTTGAGCACAAAGAGGCTGAGGGACAACACTCTGAGTTCAAGTCCCATAACCAATAAAACAAAAATTGGGTTTTTTAATTTTGATAGCAAGGGATGAATGAATGTTTTAATTCTCCGCAAGACCACATTGGTTGGGTTATTTTTCTTGAGTTCCTTAATTTGCTCACCTGTCCTTTTATTAAAACACTATATTCTAGCACTGGTGGCTTACTCCTGTAAGCCTAGCTACTCAGGAAGCTGAGATACAAGGATTGTGGTTCAAGGCTAGCCTGGGCAAGAAAGTCTCTGAGACTCTTAACCACCATTTAACCACCAGAAGACCAGAAGTGGTACTGTGACTCAAAGTGGCAGAGCACTAACCTTGAGCAAAAGTGCTCAGGGACAGCACCCAGGCCCTGAGTTTAAGCCCCACAACTGACAAAAAAAGCTATAATCTGTGATTATTAACTGAGTATCCTGAAGCTTACTATCTAAAAAAATTACCACAGCTTAGTAAATCATAAAGTAGCTTGTATCTAAAACTGACCTCAAAACTTACTTATTTGGTCTTTTCTGTAAGAGTACATTGAAAACACACAAAGCTAAAAACTTACTGTACTTTTTCAGTATTTAATCATAGGAAAACATAAAAAATGGAAGACACCAAGTGACTTTAGCTAAAATCATTTCTATTTTTGATTTTAAGTTCAAGGTAAATGAACTGCTTGTTTTCTTTTTAAATAGGGTTACACTTCATTTTGGAATGACTGTATATCATCTGGATTACGTGGCTGTATGTTAATTGAATTAGCATTGAGAGGAAGGTTACAACTAGAGGCTTGTGGAATGAGACGTAAAAGTCTTTTAACAAGAAAGGTAAGAGGATTTCTAAATAAAAGGAGGTTATACTGCTTAACTTGAAAAATATCCTTAAAGGAAAGTGATTTTACAACTGCGTTTGCTGGATTGTTTCCATATCCTTTTTTGCATTCTTGCATTCATCTCTGATGAGTATGTAGTTCACGGTTGGGATTACTGACCATTGCAACTTACATAATTACAAAGATGCTCAACTTGCTTTTGCTGCTTTTGGAAGCCTTAAGTTTGAAGGACTTGACAAAACTTAAAAACAACCCAAAACAGTTATTGTGCAAATTAGGTATCCAGAGGCTGTTGATCTTACAGGCACACTGTAATTCAGGCTGCTTCTCTACTGTGAAGGTATGGGTGGGTAATGTTTGTGGTAAAATATAGGTGATATTGGCTAGTTCTTAGAAGTTTAATCTCAACCTAAATCTCAGATATTCAAGACTGTTTCTCCTTCTATCAATGATGTTTCTTAGAGGTATGGTGTTTTAAACTTTTTTTTCTCTAATACATTATACTAATAAATAAACTAGGCAGTTACTGTACTGGTGAGCCCCCTCTACTCTTTTTTTTTTTTTTGCCTGTCCTGGAGCTTGAACTTGAGGCCTGGGCAACCATCCTTGTGAGCTTTTTGTTCAAGACAAGTGCTGTACCACTTGAGCCACACATCTGCTTCCATTTTTTTGGTCGTTAATTGGAGATAAGAGTCCCATAGACGTTCCTGCCTGGGCTGGCTTTGAACTGTAGTACTCAGATCTCAGGCACAGGAGTAGCTAGGATTACAGCCACCAGTACCTGGCTGCATCTAGTTATTTTTGAGATTGGAGTGAATGCTTGGATTTTGATCCACCCGTTTAAGGTTTCCTAATGTAGGTAGAAGGACAGGTGTACATCCACCTTCTTTTGAAATGGAGTCTTATAACTTTTCTTCCTGGGCTGTCCTGGGAACTTCAACCCTCCTAATTTCAGCCTTTCATTCAGCTGGGATGACAGGGACACACACTGGCACCTAGCTGCTTCAGTTATTTTTGAGGTAGGATTTTGTGTTTATGCTTAGAAGAGCCTGGACAAATTCTTTCTGTGTAGCTGAAATGATAGGTGTGTACCACAATACCCAGCTATGGAGTGTTTTCCAGATCTCTGCTTCCCAGGTAGCTGAAATTACAGGGATAAACCACTTCATACTTTTAATTTATATGCTATAGAGAATAATTATCTTGTAGGAAAGAAAAGCATTAATGTAATCATGAAAAACTATATGCAAAAAAGTAAGCATTAGTGGATTGTAAGTAGGTGGTTCAGTGGTAGAGTGTGTGCTTAGTATGTGTACCCCTGGGTTCAATTCCTCCAAAACATAGTATTTTAGTCTCCTTCCCCCCTCCCCTCCCTGCCCCTTGAGAGGTGTGACTATAGTGCAAAGCAAGACTGAAACTCGCTTTGTAAACCAGGTCTGACCTTAAACTTTCCCATCTTTCTGCCTCAGGTTCCCTAGTGTTAGGATTATGGGTATGTGCCATAGAAAATATTTTGCATGGGAGTTTTATTTTGGAATTTCTACTTTCCCCCCTGTTTTTGGTTGGATGTGGGGCTTGAATTGGGGGCGTGGGCACTGTCCCTGAGCTCTTTTGCTTAAGGCTGGCACTACCACTTTGAGCCATAGCTCTACTGCTGAGTGGTTAATTGGAGATTTAAAAAAAAAAAATCTCACAGGGACTTTTCTGCCATGGCTGTCTTTAAATTGTGATCCTCAGATCCTAGCTTCTTTTTTTTTTTTTTTGGGTCCGGTCATGGAGCCTGAACTCTGGGCCTGGGCGCTGTCCCCCAGCTCTTCAGCTCAAGGTTAGCGCTCTACCACTTGAGCCACAGCGCCACTTCTTTTTTCTTTTTGCTTATGTGGTGCTGAGGAATCGAACCCAGGGCCTCAGGCATGCAAGGCAAGTGCTCTACCACTGAGCCACCTTCCCAGCCCCCAGATCCTAGCTTCTTGAGGAACTAGGATTACAGGTATGAGCCACCGGCACCCAGCCTTTTTTTCATATTTTTATTAGAGTATTTTAGTTATACAGAATGGAGATTTTCACAATGACACATGTTTCTAATATGTTTTACCCCCTTACTCTTTTATCCCCCTACCCAGTTCCCTTTTTAATCTTCTTTGCACTTTTGAAAAGTGGGCTTCATTATATCCTTAAGTGGGCTCAAGTGGTAGAGTGCCAGCCTTGAACAAAGAAGCCAAGGTGATTAATTGGTGGCAAGAGTCTCATGGACTCTCCTGCCCAGGCTGGGTTCAAACCTCAATTTCTAGATCTCTCAGCCTCCTGATTAGCTAGGATATTAACAGGTGTGAGCCAATAGGCCTGATTAAAGTTTTGTATAATCAAACTTGTTGATCAAGGCTAGCATTCTACCACTTGAGCCACAGTGCCACTTCTAGCCTTTTCTGTTTATGTGGTACTGAGGAATTGAACCCAGGGCTTCACTGCATGCTAGGCAAGCACTCTTACCACTCACTAAGCCACATTCCCAATCATATTTTCTTTTAAAATCTTTTATCAAGGCAAAAACTCAGAGCAGCCAACTTGCTAGCTAGTTGCTTTAATGACTCTTACTGGAAGTCTGTTTTTCTACTAATGCCTAGTGCCAACTTGTGGCATGAGGTTCCCCCTCCCCCCCCCATGGGGGGTGGTGGTGGTGGTGGTGTGTGTTTGAACTCTGCCTCAATACTGTCTCTTGTTTTTCTTGCTCACAGATGGCACTTTACCACTAGAGTCATGCCTCCAATCTGGTATTTTTCTGGTTAATTGGAGATGAAGTCTCACAGGTTTTTCTAACCTGGCTAGGTTAGAGCCAAAATCCTCCAGATCTTAGTCTCCTGAGTATCTAAGATATAGATGAGAACCACTGGCACCTGGCAGAAATATCACTTTTAATATATTTTGAACTTTACCTTATGATTTGAGTCTATTTTTGGAACTAAAGTGTTAAAATGAATTTCTGTTATCAGATAGCAGAAAGTACAGACCAAATGGAATGATAGTAAACAGAACTGGATTTTGCTTTTTAACTTAAGATGTAGTTGTTTTATTTTCTTTCATTCAGTTGTAGCTAGTTTGGTTTGCTTAAGTATCAAATTCCTTCACAGGATTAGTTAAAAATCTGAACATTGGTGTTGCAGGAACACCAGTGATTAATTTTTTGCCTAACGTTTTTTTGTTTACTGATTTTATACCAGAAAAGAGGCATTGATGGGTCATTTCTTATTGCTTCCATTTTAGGTGATCTGTAAATCAGATGCTCCAACAGGGGATGTTCTTCTTGATGAAGCTCTCAAGCATGTTAAGGAGACTCAGCCTCCAGAAACGGTCCAGAACTGGATTGAGTTACTTAGTGGTAAGTTGCTATGTAAAAATTAGACATTGAATCCCATTTAAAAGAGTATAAAAACTTAAAAACCTTTTGAAAGGAACCTATGGAACAGGAGATTGCTATTTAACTTGAAGGTTTAACAAGTCTTAGATTTATCAGGTTCATGGTATGTTGCTCAGTAAGTGGAGATGGGAACACACAAACTTTTCTGCCTGGGCTTACTGTAGTAAAGATGGACACCAATGTTGACACCTATAATCCTAGCTACACAGGAGGCTGAGATCTGAGTATCATGGTTTGAAGCCAGCCTGGACAGGAAAGTCTATGAGATTCTTATCTCCAATTAATCACAAATAGCTGGCTCAAGTGGTAGGGCTAACATCTTCGCTATAGTTAGTTTTGAAGTAGAATCTTGTATTTTGCCAGACAGCCTGGACCACAACCTCCTATTTATACACATTTTGTAGCTGGGCTGATAGGTATGTAAAAGTATGCCTGACTTTTTATTGTTTGAAAGTGACGTCTTTTGAACTTTTTGTCATAGTGGCCTGGAACCATGATCCTTCTGTCAGTGTCCTAAGTAGCTAGGATTATGGGTATGGGACACTGTACCTGGTTCTGACAAAGATGTCTGGAAAGAACCTTAAAATCAATTTGAGAAAGAGTCACGTTTGTCTAATAATTTGGTGAAAGATGAAAATTTAGCAGTATAGTTCTCTGCAAGTTAGGTAACTCATAAAATGAATCCTTAGGAACTTTAGTTGAAGGAGGAAGTGGCCCTTAGATTTGATCTTAGAAGGGTAAGAACTGAACAAAAGGAAGCCTACTTTTTAGGAGTAGAGGTAGTATGGTAAAGTTGGTCAGTCTGGTGTGCTGTACTATATTATGAAGGGAAACGTGAAGAAAACAAGAGTGATTAGCATGGGTCTGAGGCAGAGGTGACACACAGGAAACAATATAGAAATAAGAGGTTTTTAACACAAAGGGTTTTAATAAAGAAAGAGGTTTCTTGAGGAAGGGATATACAGTGGGTCATTTTATTACTTAAATGTAGATATATGTTACAGTGCTAAAGTTTTATACAATTTAGACATATTACATCTTATTAAAGAATTAATAAAGGTACATAAGTTCAAAAGAAAGACCTTTTCTATTTTTTAATGGCATTGGGGTTTGAATTTGGCTTTGTGTATGCTAGGTAAGTGTTCTACCAATTGAGCCCTAGCCCTTAAAATCTTCTTTTAACAAGTTTAAAAGCTGGGCTGGCAGTGTGGCTTAGTGGTAGAGTACTACTTGCCTCACATATATAAGGCTCTCTCATTTGATTCCTTGGTATCACATAAAACAAGAAATAAATAAGTTTAATACAATTTACAAAAGAAAAAAATTATTAAAGAGTTATTTATTTATTTCAGGTAAGGGATAGGTTTATTCAGTAGACCTGCTGGGACCAGGCAAGGTTGGCACTCCACGTGGCTGGGAAAGGCCTGGGAATGAGAGAGAGCTGGGAAAGAGAGGAAAGAAGAGAGGAAAGAGCTAGAAAAGAGCAGAGGGAGCAGAGAGAGCTAGAAAAGAGCAGGGAGAGGGTTAAAGAGTTATTTTAAAAAAGGTTTAAAAGCTGCCAGGCACTTGAGGCTCATACCAGTAGTCCTTAGCTACTCAGTAGGCTGAGGTCTGAGGATTGTGGTCCAAAGCTAGCCAGGACAAAAAAGTCTGAGAATCTTATTACTACAAAAAACTGGAAGTAGAACTGTGGCTGGTTCAAATGATAGATGCTAGCCTTGAGCAAAATAGCTCAGGGACAATGCTTAGTCCCCAAGCTCAAGCTCAGGATTGGCATACATACACGCACATACACAAAAATTTTAAAAAGCTATTAATGTTTAAGGGCTGGAAGTGTGGCTCAGTTGTTATAACCCTTGCCCAACAAGCACAAAGCTGAGTGAAAACTTTAGTACCATCTTTCCTCCCCCAACCCTCCCAAACAAAGGGATTTCTGAAGTTTTACATATACTGGATGCAGGAAGCTGTTTATAGTTATATAACATGATGTCCAGGAAGATGATTCTTTCAGTGAAATTTTTATATGCCTATCAGTATGTCATTGTCCACTGGCATGATTAATGGACAGTAGACCTTAGCTTTGAAGAACTTTACTCTTCATATATGCTTTTTAGGATTTCTTTTACAAAAAAAAAAAAGAGGTATAAGCCTGGTGCCAGTGGCTCCTGCTGAGATCTGAGGATTGTGGTTTGAAGCCAGCCAGGGCAGGAGAGTCCATGAGACTTTTATCTCCAATTAACCATCTGAAAAATGGAAGTGATGCTGAGGCTCCAGTGGTAGAGTGCTTGCCTTGTGCTGAAGAGGTCAGGGACAACGTCCAGGCCCCACAACTGATCCCCCCTCAAAAAAAAAAAGTACATATAAATATTGTGTATTTAAATTTGCACATTTAACTTAGCTGGTCTTTTCTACATATACAGCGAATAATTTAGTCTTAGGAAAAACAGTGAATCATAGCAACATTTTTTAACCTAGTGTTTAAATGCTGTTCATTTATCAAGTATTTCTTAGTTCCTTAAAGATTTTCAATGGTCTTAAAATAACTAAATCTTTAACAGCTTCTGGAGATTAATCAAACCTTTATTGTGCCTTTGATAGTCTTTCCATAATCCTGCATTATATTGGTGCCATAATTATGCCAGACTCAGGAGTGACATTCTTTGGATTACATTTATTTACTTTTTTAAAGATAAAAAACAGAAATTTCGGGGCTAGGAAGGTAGCTCAGTGGTAGAGTGCTTGCCTTGCATGCCTGAGGCCCTGGGTTCAATTCCTCAGCACCACATAAGCAAAAAGAAAAAAGCCGGAAGTGGCACTGTGGCTCAAGAGATAGAGCGCTGAAGAGCTGAGGGACAGTGCCCAGGCCCACAACCGGATCTCCCCCCCCCCCCAAAAAAAATAACTGAGTGGCCAAAGTATCTTGATACCCTGAAATTTCTGTTGTTGTTTTTTGGGGGGGGCTAGGGGGGAGGGTCTGGTCATGGGGCCTGAACTCTGGGCCTGGGCGCTGTCCCTCAGCTCTTCAGCTCAAGTCTAGCGCTCTACCACTTGAGCCATAGCGCCACTTCTGGCTTTTTTTCTTTTTGCTTATGTGATGCTGAGGAATCGAACCCAGGGCCTCAGGCATGTAAGGCAAGCGCTCTACCACTGAGCCATCTTCCCAGCCCCCACTCATTTATTTCTGTGGACCTTTTTTCCCCCTATACCACAGGAAGTATTATTCAACATTTGAGATATTTCTCACATTGTTTCAGCCTTAAGATTTTCTTATTTTTATACCTGAAGAGATCCAAATTAACTCTTAAAAATACCTGGAAGAGGGACTGGGAAGGTGGCTCAGTAGTAGAATGCTTGCCTTGCATGCATGAGGCCCTAGGTTCGATTCCTCAGCACCACATAAGCAGAAAAAGCTGGAAATGGCACTGTGGCTCAAGTGGTAGAGCACTAACCTTGAGCTGAAGAGCTGAGGGACAGCGTCCAGGCCCAGAGTTCAGGCCCCGTAACCAATGACAAAAACAAAAAAAAACCCTGAGGAAATCTGAATAACCACTTCATTTTTATAAATATATGAAGACTTTGGAATAATCCACTTTTGTTGGCATGAGCAGACATGGTTTGCCCTCTTCCAGGGAATTGCTACAAAAGAAGATGATGGCTTGATCCCTTTTTATTACTTCCTCTGAGGCAGAAATGGTTTTCCATAAGGAAGTCCAGTCATAAGAGGAACACCTTAGTTAAAGGTGGGTCTGTGTTAGGCTGTTCTCATTGTTAGTAGCAACATTAAACTTAGGATACTGTGAAAATTTTCACAGCCAATATTCATTACATTATTCAAGATTTAATAAGGTCAAGATGAAGGTAAATGTTAGTATGTGTTAGTATGACTTCATACAGTAGACAGAAAACTGCCAATCCTACTTAGCTTCCCATGAGAAGAAAAGAAAACAACATTTTTTGTAGTGGCATTAAAGGAATGTTATGTTTTAAGGCCTGCAAGGGGAAATTCAATTAAGGGTCCCTCAAAGTAATCCGTTTCATTATTTTTTCCTCTACTATTTAACAATAGATGGTCAAGCTGTTCTCTGGGACACAAGGCCTTTCATATTTGACTTTTACTAAATTAGAATATAGTTAAGCCACTTGTCATTTGTTCTGCTATACTTTAGTTTTGTGCCAACACAAACATACTAAGGCAACAATACATAATTAGCTAGAGTTTTGAGGAGAAATGCACAGCTAATTAATTTTAGAATTAAACTTATTTTTAAAATAGGCTTGTCAATAAATTTGGTTGTTTTATTTTTTGTTGTAAGTTTAAATCTCCTTCCTTCCAAATTGATTGGTATTAGCACAAAAATAGACCCAAAGATCAATGGAACAGACAAGAAGACCCAGAAATATACTTTATACTTACATTTATTTGATAAGGGAGCCAAAGATACACAGTGGGAAAAAAGATAGCTTCTTTAGTAGTTGGTATAGGGAAAACCAGGCATCCATATGCAGAAAACTAAAAGTGAATACTGTTTTTGCACAAATAACTCAAAGTAGATCAAAGACCTCAATGTCAGACCTGAAACTTTTGGAACTATTGAAGAGGAGTAGGAGGAATAGAACTCTCTACTGCAAGAGGGAGTAGGAGAAACTCTAGATCTCATAGGCATACATACTCTTTTGAAAAGAGTCCCAGGGGCACAGCTGAGAGACTTGACAAATGGGATTACATCGAACTAGAAAGTTTCTGCAGAGCAAAGGACGTAATTACTAAACTAGAAAGACAGCTAACTAACTGGGAATAGATATTTACCACAAATATAATCAGACAAAAGCCTAAAATCCAAAATATACAAGGAATTCAAGAAAATAACCCCTCCTAAACGAATAAACTGAGCACTAAAGGAGATAAGGAGATAAGGAGAAACTTATCAGAAGAGATAAGGATGGCAATTTCCTTGACCATAAAGGAAATGCAAATAAAAACAAATTTCACCTAAGTTGATTGGCTAATCTCATAAGTTCTGATACATTTCAGCTCTTTCCTTTTTGAAATTAGCGAGGAAATTGAATACAACCATTGGTTTTATTTTGTGGAGATTTATTTTTCTGGCCTTTTCATTTGAGGGGGAAATATACTTAAAAAAACAACAACCATGAGGTGTTTGGTTATAGTAATCTATAACTTTGTACTACATGATTTTTGACTGTAATTCAGTCCTAACTTTCTTAAATTGTAACATGGCAGGCAGTTTCAGGCCACTTTTTAAGAATCAAGCTCCTGTTGTCTCTTCAATGTATATATATTTTCCTGAATTACATAGATAGTATAATAGCTGTTTTTAAGTTCTTGTCTGCTAATTCCATTATTTGAGTCATTTTTGGGTTGTGTCTAACAGGGCTGTTTCCATTGTGTGCTGGACATTGTGATTATTAGATTATTGAATACTGGACTTTGTGGTCTTTTTTAAAGAAGAGCTGTTGAATTTGTTTTGGTAGATAAGCTGGGTGCCTGTGGCTCACACCTGTAATCCCAGCTACCCAGAAGGCTGAGATCTGAGGGTTGTGGTTCATAGCCAGCCTGAACAGAAAGTCCATGAGACTCTTATCTCCAATTAACTACCGGAAAACTGGAAGTGGCATTGTGGCTTCAGTGGTAGAGTGCTTGCCTTGAGCTGAAGAGCTCAAGGACAGTGCCCAGGCCCAGAGTTCAAGCCCCAGGATCAACAAAAAAAAAGGGGGGGGGGAAGCAGTGTTTTGGCAGACAGTTCTAAGTTGCTTGTAGAGCACCTTGTTCTAAGGCTTCATTAGGGTAGGATCAGAGTGGTCAGTATTCAGGGCTCGCTTAGCTCCTACGGAAATGCGCTCCCCTGGAGTCTCCGTTGCATGTCCTGGGTGTTCAGTGGACCCTTGCTTCTCAGACAAGTTGGCACTCAAAAGTTTTGCTTTTCTCACATCTAGGTGAACTCGTACAACTTTTCTGATAGCTGTTCTTTGCTTAGCTTTGTGGAGTCTCATCTTAACACATGTGGCTTACTTTCTAGCCAGAGACTCCAGGGGACAGCATATAGGGTTTTAGACTTCCTTTCTCTGTAAAGCTTTTTTTCCCCGTGTGATAGAACTGGACCATACACATTCCTGCTATCTTAGCTGACCCGACCTCTGACCTCTGTCTGTAACTTGTTAATGCATAGTGATGGCTGTGCTCTGCTTCTTTCTTGCTCTATGGCCTCTTGGTGTGCCTTCGGGTATTAAGCTTGGACAATCACAGGCCTCACTTAGGTTCCCCTCAGGCTGCCTTATGACCAATACTCTCAACTAGTTGTTTCAGATTTTTAATTATGGTTTAGGGGGTAAGTCCCAGATTGATCAGTTTACTAAGTCATGTGGTAAAGTACTTGTCTATGGCCATCTGAACAGTAACGTACTTTAAGCGTTACTGTCAACTAGGAATTTTTGTGATGCATAAGATGTTCTGTTCCTGTGCTATGTAGCCAGTAGCTAATGGCTACATTTGGCCATTTGTACTTGAAATGTGACTTGTGCAGTTGAAGAACTAAACTTTTAAATTAAAGTTTAATAGTTCCATGTAGTTAATGGCTTCAGTACTAAGAAAAACTAGTTTCAGATTTTCCCTCAGTATTACAAAAATTTCAGCCTTGAAGCTTTTGTGTTTAATCAGGTATCTGTGGTTGATCTTTAACATGTTCTAATTTAGGAAAGTGCTGAGTTTTTTTTTCTCCAAATTATAAAAATAGTTTGTTTATAGGAGATTATTAAAAAAACAAAATGCAAAATAATATTTGTCACTCAGATAACTAATGTTTTGATGTATTTTCTTCCAATCTTCTTTTTTTTAATTTTAATTTTTTGTGAACATACTGTACAGAGGGGCCAATCTTCTTATAAAGTAAAAACTTTAGTGAAAAAACTTGTTTTCTTTTAAATATTTGTTTCAAGGAAGTGTGTATAAAACGAAAATTGAGAAATTCTTTCGTCCTCTTGTTACTTTTCATCAAAGAATAGCATTGTTTACATGGATTTTTCTGTCTGTGTATGTGTTCTGTGTTTGTTCTGTGTGTGGCTGTATGTGTGACAGTTTCAGGAATAGCATATAATCAAGGAAGCTCTTTTCCTCTTTTGTCAATTTGTTACAGATTGGTGTTTTATAGTAAAGCCTTTTATTTTGCTTCTCTTGGCATCTTCATCTTCATCATTGCATTTATATATACATATATATACATATCTATGTGTGTGTGTGTGTGTGTGTGTGTGTGTGTGTGTGTGTGTATGTGTGTATGTATGTATTTCCAATCTGTTAGGTAACTGC